CTTTAGAGCTTTAATCGTGATACGCCAGACGATAAGTTTACGTTAAGGATATAAATAAAGCATTGTTCATGTTAGATTGACTCGCTTGTTTTGCTTTCAACTGATTTCAACGGGACCTTTGTTTACAATTGAACATTCGATGTAGAAGGAACTCGGCAAACACGCTGTCTGTAGAATTTACAGCCAAGAGCTTCTTTCCCATCTCTCCAGAGATTAAAAAACGGATTAACGGAGACGAATGTACTTCGGCGACCCCCGTCGACACGGTCCGTACGTTTCGATGGCGCCGCCATCGAAAGTGCTGCAGTGAAACAAACACGGAAACAAAAAGGCTCGATACCAGACCAAAATATCCAAAAAGATGTAAAGAAAAATACCAAAAGAACCTGTTTAGACTTTCTTTTAAACCAAATTTAGCGAACTGTGGAAGATTAACAAAGATTGACTCTGCATACTGCAGGCAGCAATTTTCAACTTCGCGAAATGCTTTTTTTCTGGAGTACAGGGCGCGCAATGCATCTAGGGTGAACATGCATGGGCCTTTAACGGAGGTTATCCAAGAATGCAACTGCTGAAAAGAGTCGACTGTCCCTTTTATCAAACAAAAGGGACAACAATATTTCTTCTTGTAACTGAATCAATAAGCTTTTATTGTGCAGGTCTTAGTTAATTTTTTTTTCGAAAATTCTTTAGCGGGTTGAGTTTTTTCGCATTTGTTATGTGACTTTTACGCGATGACATGAAACGGTGACGCTTAATTCGATAAAATATTTGAATAATCTAATTGTTTTCTTATAAATCCGCCAATCGAACACTGTCAAGCTCACTTCACTCACTGTTCATCACTGAATAACCAAAGTTCGATATATCAAAATTCCAACTTGAATTCAAGGCTCCCTCTCTAACGGTCCAGACTGTCTCGGAATTCCCAGAAGAGACTAAAGCACAAAGAATAACAAACCAAATACAGACTGAAATATGACCATAAAGACTCACGCTACAATTTTCATATAACGAACCCAAGCTATTGACAACATGTAGCACGGCCTATCAAATTTGCGATTAGTGGATGGTTGATTCATCACGCCTTAATAATGTACTATGACCTACTATTACTAAAGTTGCTTAAGTTGAGGTATCTAGACATTGACTGTACACATTTCCCCGTTTTCAAGCGAAAATAGCAATCAGTTTAGTCGCGATGGGAATTCATAAACACGTAATTAAAATTTGGAGTAGACGTGAGCAGACACCCTATTCTGGTTTTCGATTTCTCGGCTTTTGGTACAATCCTCATTTTCACAATTTATCTTTAAGGATTACCGTGTACTCTCGTCCCATACAGCGTAAAGGTCAATTCGTGAAGGACTTGCCCGCTGTAAAATGAAAATACTTAATTTTATCTGTAAAAAAAAAAATGTTCGCTAAAAACGCAACTGCTGTGTGTCGAATAAAGAACGTACGGAAGGGCGAGACTAACAAAGGTTAGTAGTGGCAAAGGTAAGTAAATTTAATGGTGTATACTTCCGTTTAGTTTTCCTGTAAATAAAGTAGAAAAAAAGTTGCCCAATGGCATTTTTTATTATTTTTAAGCTTAATAATATCAATAATTATAACAAAATATTGTAACAAGCAAATGCAATGACTGACTTTCTGGTCCCTTCTTAAGTCTCGCCCTGTGACTATGCTTCGAATGAACCCACCAAATCGTGTCACATAACGCTAAGGTAGCAATAAAACGATTTATTTAGTAAATTAAAATTTAAAAAAGTTTGGCTGCTGAACTTTTAGGAATATATTTCTGAAGATATATTTATTGAAAAAGGAAGAAGAGAAAGAAAATAATTTTTTTCGGTTAAAAAAGACATATTTTACTTCCGAGGGGGAACTACTCTTTGGAGAAATTTACTGTCAAAGCAGCCGGTGTCACGCAACGCGAATTCTGCATCAATATGCAAATTTGAGTCGAAACCTTCAAGTCTGAATCGCGTTGTGCCACAAGTTTTATGCCATAAATTGATAGAATACCTCTTTGTCTTTAACCAAAACATGCTTTTAGGTCTAGGTTAGGTGTCACTTTTAAGAATTTTATGAAGTTCCTGAGGCATAGTTTGGTGCAGTTTTCTTCCTTAATTGAATTACGAGAATAAAGATAACCTGTTTTTGCTGATTACGGAGAGATACGACTAAACCGTATTGAAACAGTAAGAAGAAACAATATACTTCCAAATGAGTGCAAATGGTCTAGGTTTTAAAGGACCGGTCATTATTTAGCGGGGGGAGGGCTACGAGAATGAGGAAAAGAGTCAGCCAAGAACTTGTGGCCCTCCCTTCTGAGAGTTTTAAAACCTTCAACCCCCCCCCCATCCTTACTCCATTTAATAAAATTGTGACCCTCCCCCAGGACAAAATAGTCGAACGGTTGTTAAAAAATAACATTCAATGTTTCTTTTTGCACGTCAAACTTTAATCAATAATAGACATATCTTGCAATTGCTTTTAATTTCCATGTCCTGCATGTTCTACCTACTTTGGTAGTACACAAGATGTCACTGATTTGTAGACCCTCATTGTCGCCGACATCATGGTCGTCATGATCGTCCTTCTCACTGTCTTCATCGTCCTCATAATCATTGCCAACGTCGCTTTCGTTGTCACTCTCGTCGTAATCTTGATCTGTATCACTTTTCTCGCCGGTATCTGTCGCTTCTTCTTGATCATTTTCTTCGCCAATTTCCTCCAGTACAACATCATTTTCATATTCGTCGTCTGATTCTTCATCCTCGACATCGTCTTCCTCGTCGTTTACCATATCTGCGCCGTTAACTAAAGATCTCGCAATGTGGGCAGCAACAATGTCTATTTTGTCACGTTTAAGTGTGGTCCTGGAACATCTAATATTATGTTTGTCGAGGTAGAGATCAAGGAAGGAAATGGTTAAAAATAAGCGACGGGCATCACACGACTCCAGCACTAAGTCGTATTGGAAGTAGTGTGACCTTCAGAGCTTCGCTCTAACTAGTAGGTCCTTAAGAGATTTTCCCTTGCGATAAGATATGAAGGGAGGCTCCTTAAAGATTTCTCTTAGTCGTTGCTGCATGGTTTTGTATAAGGTGCCATTTCCCCATAAGTATTCTCTTCAGGCTAGGTAAAGCCAGGTGGTATTGTGTAACAAAAGGTAGAAGTTTTTTGCGTGCGGATTTGTTTCTCTGTTGTAGGGCTGTTTTCGTTCCTGTTGGCAAATTTTATCTCAGAGAGGTACTTTCTTAAAATAGCGGCAGGGTAGCCTCTTTCTAACAGGCGGTTGTGAAAATTTCTGATATTCCTCTCAAATGTGACCTGCGAGGAATTAGTCCTTAGAAGCCTGAGCGCTTCCCCTTTGATGAAGCCTTTTTTCACGCCTGGTGGGTGACACGAGTAGAAGTTCGTGTACTGGAATGTTTCTGTTGGTTTGTAATGTGTTTGCACGTCTAGGATTGATTCCTTGTCGAATCTAACCCCTTTGTACACTTTTGTGTCCAAGAACGTGATTTCTGTTTCTGACATTTCAGCTGTAAACTTTATCGTTGCGTGAAAATTATTTGCCTTTTTCACAAAACTCTCTATTTTGTCTAGACTTGTGTTCCATAGCGAAAACACATCGTCAATATACCTTTTCCAAAAAAGCGGTTTGATGCAACTCTGACTCAATATTTGTTTTTCTATTCTGGCCATGAAGATGTTTGCAAAACCAAGCTAGCTACGACTAAATCCAAGCTCACTGATCATGAGCTCGGAGCAAAGGCCTCAAATATCTTTCAGGTTGATTATGCACCCTTAAAGAGGAAATATCGTTGGAAAAAAAAAACAGAATAAACACCGCGCTGCAAAACGTAAGGCTGTTCGTACCTCTCAGAGGACGTCAGCAGTTTTGCAAAAGATCATTGAATTGAATTAAATTGAATTATTAATTATAATAAATTATTGTTTAATTATTTTTATTATTGAATTATTGGTATCCCAAAATGACACATTTCAGCTAGGCAGTGACGCGAAGGACTACCTCGCAGGCTTACTAGGCAAGGAAAGAGGTGAAGCAACTAATTCCTCCCACGTCGACGATAAGATCGTGGATGATGAAGATCATGATGATGTTGCCTGGAGTGGAACAAGACGAAAGTGATGATGATGACTGCAGCGTTTCTATATTGCCCAAACCAGGAGAGGCATCTTCGTCAGATATTGAAGATTATGGTCCATATTGGAATGATTCCTCAGAGTCCATGCCATACCTGGATCATCTTTCAGACTAAATTTCGAATATTTACGTTTTTCCTGGTTCATTTTGCTTGGTTTTCTTTCCTTTTCTTCAGCCTTAAGCCTGATTGTATCCTTTGTTTTTAAACCGCCTTTGATATCAAAATATTTTGCCTATTACCTACCCGTAATAGGCAAGAAAATCCTCCAAAAACACCGACAACAGCATCGTTATCTTTTGGTGACGGTGTACATGATCAAATGTTTCTATCAGTGCTGTTTACTAATGACTTTCTCTAACGTTCCGTTTTTAAAATTGTAAGAACTTTGCACTAGGAAACAAATTCAGTTATTATGTGTTTTAGAAAACAGATATTCTTTATAGAGACTTTTTGTAAAACAGGGCTCCATGTTTACATGTGTAATTACATAAAACGGATACAGTTGACTCAAATAAAGAGAATTGTGAGTGTGAAACTTGAGGTAAATACTTACAGAATACTTATGAGCTCAAAAATTCGTAGCCCTCCCCTCAAAGTCATTTTTAAAAAAATGGCCCTCCCCAAAGTGAGACTAAAAAAATTGTAACCCTCCCCCCAAACATAGTAGCCCTCCTTCCCCCCCGCTAAATAATGACAGGTCCCTAACGGCCCGTAGTAGCTTTCAACGATCGTTAAAAAAGCTGAATAACAGCGTCTAAAATTTTCATATTTTAGCCGGTAACGGTCGTTCAGATATGAAATGCTGAGAATGGCAGTAAAATAAACTATTTCCTCACTCTAACTTAGTTCTAAGAATGGATAGTGGTATTGATGATATAAATATAAGGCGAAAGTGTTATCGAGCCTGAAATTGAGTGGAACGCTTTTAGGGACATTGCCTCTTAAATGCAGACGTAACCACTCAAACTGTTCGGTAATCGAACTTTATCGAACTCAATCGAACCTAATCGAACCGGTCAGTATAAAACATGGACTGCAGACTGCGGACCATGGACTGTGGACTGTTTATAAAACACGGACTAGGTATAAAATGCAGACTAGAAACTACGGATTGAGTATAAAACACGGACTACGGACTGTGTATATAAAAACAGCTTTTAAGTTCGCCAATAGTTGCAGTTGAAGTAGGTGAAGCAACAACTGAATAGGTTCGTCCCCGGCAGGGAGAATAAAAGAAAACAGAGCCCTGTAACATCTTGTCTATTTGTTTATCAAGTGCCCCAGCCCCCCTTCACGCTCTCAAAATTTGCAAAGGCGTCCTTTTTTTAATTTCAAAATAGGTGACAGTGCACCCTTTAGTCAAAAAAACTTACCATAAGGACATGACCCTGCTGTCAAGAAAAGGCCGTGAATTACTATGTGACCAAAGTAACTGCTTCCCACTACGGCTTCAAATGTTACCTGTCAAAGGTGCAATCAGTCCGAAAGAGTCACTGTTGTTATTAATGTCTTGAAATTAATGAAAAATTATCTTCGAATTTGTCAAAAAACTACTAACTTAACAATAGAAATAAGGAAAAGTCGGCTAATAGCAAAACAGATCCTTTTGGAAACACCAAGCGCATCATATTTTGCACTACATTTACGGACTTACTTGCACCACTATGAATAAGAAAGAATAATCTTGCTATGACTAAATAATGTTACCAAATAGTACATCACTTATATTTCATGTGTGCTTAGTTTGTAATTAATGGTAAAGATGAAGTATTATAACGGATGCAGTGTTGTCGACTTTTTTAGTTTTTCATTACAGCCGAAGTACAGAAACCTATGGCTACAGTAAGATTTGGAGAACATAAACTCGGGAACCGAAAGACGTCTTCTGGATGGTGGACCCGCGCACCCTTCAGACCAGAAAAGTCTTGTTATTGAAGGTGCTTTCAGTAACACTGAACTTACTACCACTTAAGGATCGCAGAGATGAATCTACGTAGTTTATATGAATTTAACTAAATAACAGCAAATGATGGCCAAGATTGGTGAAAACTATCAGTTGTAAACAGTTGTAACATACTTTCAGCGCGGGTTGGAGAGAACCCTGGGAACGAGTTTGGTTCGGAACCCTTTATTAAAAATCTCCCAGACCCGCAGCTGTACTTTAATGGCAATTAAATTAACAAAAAAAGTGAGCTATTGGTGGCTTATGGCTCCCAACCCGGTTGGCTTCCCCAATTACTGCTCTCAGAGAACAGCGTCTTACCACCACTGATGGGGTCATTAAAGTTTAAATTCTAATTTTACTTTCAATATTTTCATTATCCTAATTTATTGTTAAGCAATGAGTTGATAAAAATAAAGATTCGGTTGTTGTTAGAAGAGACACAAAAATAACGCATGGCTTACCCTATGCAATCCCTCGATAGCTGATACATTTACGCTAGCTTTACGCCACTTGCCTCCTTTATCACCACGTGCAAAGAACACTAAGTTCCCACTTACGGTGACTTTCAGGCTTTCAGTAGTTACACCAGACATATGGTAATAGAACCGAAGGCACATATTCCCAGAGAATTTCAGTGGAGGACTGTACATTTTTTCGTTATCACCTGGAAGAGGAAGAAAATTTTTTTTTTTTTCGGTAAAAAAACATATTTTACTTCCGAGCGGCAACTATTTGGAGACATTTACTGTCAAAGCAGCCGGTGTCACGCGACGCGAATTCTGCATCAATATGCAAATTTGAGTCGAAACCTTCAAGCCTGAATCGCGTTGTGCCACAAGTTTATTGCATAAATTGATAAAATACCTCTTTATCTTTAACCAAAACATGTTTTTAGGTCTAGGTTAGTTGCCACTTTTAAGAATTTTATGAAGTTCCTGAGGAACATTTTGGTGCAGTTTTCTTACTTAATTGAATTACAAGAATAAAGATAACCTGTTTTTGCTGATTACAGAGAGATACGACTAAATCGTATTGAAACAGTAAGAAGAAATAATATATTTCCAAATGAGTGCAAATGGTCTAAGTTTTATCCACGGCCCGTAGTAGCTTTCAACGATCGTTAAAAAAGCTGAATAACAGCGTCTAAAATTTGCATATTTTAGCCGGTAACGGTCGTTCAGAGATGAAATGCTGAGGATGGCAGTAAAATAAACTATTTCCTCATTCTAACTGCAATTTAGTTCTAAGGATGGATAGTGGTATTGATGATATAAATATAAAGCAAAACTGTTTTCGAGTCTGAAATCGAGTGGAACACTTTTAGGGACATTGCCTCTTAAATGCAGACGTAACCACGCAAACTGTTGGGTAATCGAACTTTATCGAACTCAATCGAACCTAATCGAACCGGTCAGTATAAAACATGGACTGCAGACTGCGGACCACGGACTGTGGACTGTTTATAAAACACGGACTAGGTATAAAATGCAGACTAGAAACTACGGATTGAGTATAAAACACGGACTACGGACTGTGTATATATATACAAACAGCTTTTAAGTTCGCCAATAGTTGCAGTTGAAGTAGGTGAAGCAACAACTGAAAACGTCCGTCACCGGTGGGGAGAATAAAAGAAAACAGAGCCCTGTAACATCTTGTCTATTTGCTTATCAAGTGTCCTGGCCCCCCTTCACGCTCTCAAAATTTGCAAAGACGTCTTTTTTTAATTTCAAAATAGGTGACAGTGCACCCTTTAGTCAAAAAACTTACCATAAGGACATGACCCTGCTGTCAAGGAGAAGTCGTCAATTGCTATGTTGCCAGTGTAACTGCTTCCCACTACGGCTTCAAATGTTACCTGTCAAAGGTGCAATCAGTCCGGAAGAGTCGCTGTTGTTATTAATGTCTTGAAATTAATGAACAATTATCTTCAAATTTGTCAAAAACTACAAACTTAACAATTATAATAGAAATAAGGAAAAGTCGGCTAATAGCAAAACAGATCCTCTTGGAAACACCAAGCGCATCATATTTTGCACTACATTTACGGACTTACTTGCACCACTATGAATAAGAAAGAATAATCTTGCTATGACTAAATAATGTTACCAAATGGTACATCACTTATATTTTATGTGCTTAATTTATGATTAATGGTAAAGACGAAGTATTATAACGGATAGAGTCTTGTCTTTAGTTTTTCATTACAGACCGAAGTACAAGCTAGTACAGAAACTTATGGCTAAAAGCAAGATTTGGAGAACATAGACCCGAGACCCGAAAGACGTCTTCTGGATGGTGGACCTGCGCACCCTTCAGACCAGAAAAGTCTTGTTATTGAAGGTGCTTTCAGTAAAACTGAAACTTCTACCACTTAAGGATCGCAGAGATGAATCTACGTAGTTTATATAAATTTAACTAAATAACAGCAAATGATGGCCAGGATTGGTGAAAACTATCAGTGGTAAACAGTTGTAACATACTTTCAACGGTGAGCACAAGTTCGGAACCCTTTATTAAAAAATTCCTGGACCAGCAGCTGTACTTTAATGGCAATTAAATTAAAAAAAAAAGTGAGCTATTAGTGGCTTATGGCTCCCAACCCGGTTGGCTTCCCCAATTACTGCTCTCAGAGAACAGCTTTTTACCGCCATTGATGGGGTTATTAAAGTTTAAATTCTAATTTTACTTTCAATATTTTCATTATCCTAATTTATTGTTAAGCAATGAGTTGATAAAAATAAAGATTCGGTTGTTGTTATTGTTGTTGTTAGAAGAGACACAAAAATAACGCATAGCTTACCCTATGCAATCCCTCGATAGCTGATACATTTACGCTGGCTTTATACCATATGTTTCCTTTATCACCACGTGCAGAGAACACTAAGTTCCCACTTACGGTGACAGTCAGGCTTCCAGTAGTTGCACCAGACATATGGTAATAGAACTGAAGGCACATATTCCCAAAGAATTTCAGTGGAGGACTGTACAATTTTGCGTTATCACCTGGTTGTCTTAGAATGGATGCTTCTATATACATGTAATAACCTTATAGGGTTGAAGATGGTTAGAGAGTAGCAACTTAGTCTTTTTCGGTAGAGGACGGTCCAATTTTGTCATATCATTCAGCTCTCTCCTGTGGACTAAATATTTCTAAAAAATGCACATGTAATAACCTACAAAGAGGAAAAGATGTAAGGAAGGCAACAAGAGAAAACATTGACCAGAAGGCACTGAAAAAGTATCCAGTTGACTTAAAACAGTATTCTAACAACGTTAGTTCAGCTTAAATGACGTAGAATGATCATCTGAAGTACCTATTAGTAAGTTCCCAAGTTTCCTTTTATTCGTTTTATTTTTTTCTTTGAAAACAGACGTATTATATTCATGGTAGAATAAAAGGGCAAATGATAACAAAGCCCACGGATGTAAAGAGTAACTGCAACCTTGTAGTTGCACCGATCCGAAGAGGCAGTCGAAATTAGATACTCTCGCCTACATTTAATACACCTGTGCAACGTACAAGCAACAAAAAAAGAAACAAAAACGAGCAGTTTAATCTAAGAAAACAACAGCAACAACAACAACAACAAAAAAGGGGTAGAAAAGAGTGACATGTAATTAAATTTGCAAGACTAAAACTAGCGATATTTTCATGCTAAAAATGAAGTAGAAATGCCGACCAACTGACTATTAAATTTGTTATACGTTACAACAGTCCTCGTTGCTAATAGTAGGACTGGCTAAAAGTTAAGAGCTCACCGGTCAAGTTTCCAGTGGTGTGATTAAAGGAAGGTCCTGTATCGGTAGAAGGTGTGCTTCCCTTGTGTCGAGTCCAATCAAACTTGTCATTAATGCCTTGCAGGAAACCGCACATTGAAACATCAAAGTTGCATATTGTTTCAAAGTTGCCTATTTTTTGTAAGTTAAACAAAACAAATAAATTCTCAAACTAAAAATTGAGCCTTTTTTTTCCTGGGGTCAACGATCACCTCAAAGGCATGATACGATCCTAGAAAGTACAATTACCCAGGCTGACCACGAGTTAGTTAAGAGCGGTGAGGCTTAACCTTAATTAACACCTAGGCGTAAATGCAAGCGTAATAAGGGAACATGCTCTCCAAGTAATATTGGAATTCAGGTCTTCTAAATTGACTAGAAATGCATCCAAGAATGGCTCGGCTGCGATATTTACTAGGAGGAGAGGCGCATTGTTTCCAAAATATTTGGGTTGAAGGGCTTCATAGCCCGTTGCTTATTTAATAAGTGCGGGCTTTATTTATTTATTTCTTGCTTCCTGTAGACTGCAAAACAATCGGTTTTTTTTCTCAAAATCAGTAAAGAAATTGGTAAAGCGTGGCGTAAGAGTCTTACGCGCGCTAAGCGCGCGAACCTTACACGCCCGTAAGGCGCGTTTGGCGAGCGAGAAAAAACTGACTGTCCTTTTTCCATACAATGAGTTCGCTCCGACCAGGGGGTTCAAAAATGTCGTCGAGCTGTCAAAAATCTGTTCACAACTCCGCCCTCTTTGTGAATTTGATACACTCGGTGATTGATTTCGAGGGAGAATAGCTCGTGTTATTGTCTGCATTTGGCTTGGAATCTTGACGCTGTAATCCAGTAATTCTAAAGCAGTTTTTAGCGTTGCTTCTCTGTGGAATGTAGTGTATATAGTGAAATGTAGTATATATAGTGGAGGATCAAAAATGAGTGGAAGTGGCTGTACGACAACAAAGCCTGTGCCTGCTCCTCGAAGAGGGAGAAAGCCGGAAGAGCCGAGGGCTTTAGTCCAGTCAATCTAGGCATTTTCGAGGCTCAACATCAAACTAATTGCAACAGAATTGTTTTCAACGCCATTTAAGTAAGGGTGGCCTATCTAGCAACACACTAAAAATCCGCCAAAATCCGTTCGGCGGAACATGTCAAAATTAAGCGTTAAACATTTTGAGCTATTAACACAGGGCAACCACGTTAGTTAATCATTAGCTTTTAAATTATATCCTTTTTTTATCAGATTTCTGTTGGCCGCAAGGGTAGAAAAAATATATATCAGAGCTGGATTTTTGAATAACGTTACAACCAAAATAGAGAAGTCAACATAAAAACTAAGAGTGCAGTCATTGGCCTTTTTCCTTCTCGTCCTTTCTTTCTCCTTGCTCTTTCTATTTTTCCTTTTCTCGATTTTTTCTAGGAGGATTTTCGGGCTCGACGTTTGAGGGTCTTTCTTGGCATGAAAATTAGATGACGACATTTTGTTACCAAATCCTGGCCTTTGGAGGTTTTTTTTTAAGGTTATATATCTTGCTAAGGCGTACGTTTCATTGACCACTGGATGAATTAATTGAAATCGCTCGTAGTTTTAGGAATGAAATGGCTTGCACAATGCAACCCTTACTTGAGTTCAATAATCTAGAAGAGCGCAGCATTAGAGCACTAAATGCTAAGTGTTGAAGTGGGAGGAAAGTTAGGTTACCTCCATTCTCCTTAGTTGCTGGGAGTACACCACTGGTTTCTTTCATATTCTTTGCCAGACATTTTGTAGCATGGGCTCGCTGGACCAAACCTTGCGGCCAGAATACGAGTGACAGTAATAATGATTGTCATTACGAACAGAAAAACGAGAATTGGTCACAATCGGAAAGTGAATCTACTGTTCAAAAGGTTCTTAACACTATGCTTCCTCAGTGGTTTCCGAATTCGTAGCAGCTGGTTAGAGTTCTTGCATATCGAACTGCATCATAACAGTAGACATGGTGCCTAGTAAGAGTAGGATGAACCACTTGACTCCGTAAGCCACAAAATGCTTCACAGCTCCCTTCAGATGATCATACTTTTTATTCACTTTTTAAAAGATAAAAAAATATCTTTTGCCGAACTTTGATCGGTCTAAGGATATTTACGTCATCTGTCGATAACTTCCTTTAGCTACGGATTGCTGCAGATTAAGCAGATACAGTCTAACCTCTCCTTACGGACACCTCTATAATACGGACAGTTCGTTTGGTCCCAGAATAGCCAAAATCATACATTCCCTATCTCCATAATACGGACACCTCTGTAAAGCGGACACTTGGTTCTGTCCCTTTAGTGTCCGTATTAAAGAGGTTTGACTTTAGTGTAAATGTAATATAAGTACATTATTTTTGTAAATGTAATATAACTATATTATTTTGAAGTTCGAACTTTCATAACATCAGTTTCTAATTACATTTTCGTGGTTCTTTAATCAAAGAGCACGATTAGGTTAGTCAAAACTGAATTATTCTATCATCTCACTCTGTATAAAATTGTAGAATGTTACAATCGATGATAAGGAATCATGAGCGGGCCTCCATAGCATCGCGCAATGTGCCATCCAGGGTATGTTTTCCTTCAGTCTCTTTATTCCTTAGGGCATTTTAAGTTAATGGCTCAATCAATTCCAAGCGTGTACATTCCCCCCCCCCCCCGGGCATTTGTTGGGCATTTTTCCCCTTAATTGTCGGCCCCGGTCGAGGGGATCTGTCAGAAAACCTCTGCCCATTGTTGACATGTTTTTAAGGGGGTATGAATGGGGGGGGAGGGGTCCACCTGTCGGCTGACGGTCAAAATTCAGTTACTCAGTTACTTTGTCGGTAGTAGGTTAACATTTTCGATATATGTCGATTGTCGGTAAATCTCGGTTAATAGTGGAGCCTCCGCTCGCGCGAGCGTGGAGCTTCATCCCTAAGAGAAAATGGAAAACTGTCGATGCGAGAAATTTGGTTATGACGTCACCGTACGTCCCTCCGTACGTCCGTGCGTTCTTTCCTGGTAGGGGTAAGTAGAAACGAATTCATCCTCTCTCCCTTAGAGAGTTTTGTTCCCTATTGTTTCAAAAGGCTTTAGAAATGATTCATTGCCCAGAATGCTATCGTCTTTTGCGACATGTACTTACAGTGCCCAGTTTTTTAATCCGCGGCATAATAATTGAATAACTAAGCTATCGGAATGCCGACTACGTCCGTAAAAGGATTGCTAGCTGTCAATGAAACGGTTTTAATACCCTTAGAATGATCTGACTGATCTGACTGCGTGCGACGGCTAAACAGTTTCTCTCAATACATAAAAAAGCGTTGTCAAATAGCAAAAGAAATGAGCGGAACACTTCCTTTTGTTTAATCGTTGCGTTCCGTTGCGTTTCAGTTTCGTTAAACCAGTCAAAGCAGCTCATATTAAAGACGCGCTCTTTTACTCGACTGGTTTGTGCACTCCATGCATCAGTTTCTATTTGTAAAACGATGGAAGTGAAGTAAATGCAAGAGAGGATAATCATTCTCCCTGGGTATGACATTTCTCTTTGAAGTCCTGAGTTGGTTAACATGTAAAAACATTGAGGAAACATTGTATAAGTTAATTATTCAAGTTTAGATCCGTTTGAAAACATTAATCTGCAGGCGGGAGTTTCAAACCAAGTCGAGCGTGTCCTCGGGCTTTACGAACGTAAACGAACAGGAGTACTTTCAGAAATTGACGAAAAGCCAGAACGTCCACACGACGTAATCAGAGAGTCTTCCTTAATAGTCAGACTAACATATCCATATGCTGACAAATGAATAAAGTGACTTGCCGAACAAATATTTGGCCTCAAACGTGACCTCCCATACAAAAAAGAGACTAAACTGGTCGATTTTCAAAGCGGAAAAGCCAGAACTTCTACAAGGAGGACATAGTACTTATTCATGTGTTATTTTTCATGTCAAGCACAAAAAAAATCACCATTTCTCGTGGTTTTAACCTGATGTCTAATTCTCGGCAAAATCCAAGATGGCGGCTAAGATGGCCACGATTGTTGGTGACATCATAGACCTCCAAGAGCGCCACCACCTATTAAATGTACCTCATCTTGTTAAGAAGGTCAAAGACTTTCCACTGTTTCGAAATACTAGAACATATCAAAAACTCTAGGGGAGAGTTCCACCCCCCCACTTGTACAACTGTGGGAGTGTGAATTTGAGTGTACGTCCGAGCGTTAATAACGATTAAGTATATCTAGCCGAATTTTTGAAAACATACCTCAAAATGCACCAGAATATTCGCACAGAAAGCAAAGAGGCCTCTGCGGAAAGGGAGAGAGTATTCCGTACAACGCGTATAGTCATCGCATCTACTCGTTCAATTATTTTCTTTTAATTGGTTTTGAGCTTAAACTCAAAGAAAAATTGCAACGGGAGAATGCTACTGCTATAAGCGCATATTACAAATAAATCCACCCTTTAAGTGTCATCCGACGATATACTTCTGCCACTTCTTTTAAAGACAACCGTAAATAGTTTCAATGCAGGTAGAAAATACTTCGTAACAAATACATATTTTTTATCCATTGTTGTGAAGAAATGTTTTTTCCTTCTCAAAATACGGGAAAGTACACCCTTTGATCGAAGTACTTACCATAAGGACAAGACCCCCCTGCAAAGAAGAAGTCATCAATTGCTATGTCACCAGTGATACTGCTTCCTACTACGCCTTCAAATGTTACCTGTCAGAAACATGGTATTACAGTGTAATCAGTCTGGAAGGGTCGCTTTAATGATGGACTTTAAAGGCAAATTAATATTGCAGAAATGAAGAATTAACTGGAAAGTTTAAAGAACTAGATAATTGAGACAAACAGCAGGCACATCCGCTTTGAAACGCTAAGTGATATTTTTCTTTGCATTTACGAACTTTAGAGAGATATATAACTTACATTTTGTATGTGTTTAATTTATAGTTAATAATAAGATGAAGTATTATAGTTTTACTTGTTTTGCTGATAAATACAGAAAGTCCGTCTAAAGTAGGATTTGTGGAATTTAAACTCTCGCAAATTCTCAAAAGGTTGTCAAAGATTTCTGCCTTATGCCTCTTAAAATCATT